ACAAGGACAAGAAACTGAAATATTTTGTCTTTGCAGGCAAGGATAGAGAAGAACCTCTAGCTGTTCTCAGCAGAGTTCATGTATCACCAAGAACAATGTTTAAAGCAGAATCATCAATGTGTGAAATTGCTGGGGAGGGGGTTGCACTAACTGTTCTGGAATTGCAGAGTTGCTAAAACTAGGATGATGACTGCTCTGTTTAAGAATCTAAAACACTGAATGGGTTACTTGTACCTTTCATAAGAATCAACCAGTCCTTCTGTGTTTGCAGTATGTGTGTGCTTTGCTACTAAAAGGGAAAAGATACTAAAACATTCTGCACAAATTGAAACACTTTAAGTAGGGGGAGGAAGGCGTTGTGTCTTGCTCTTAGTTGAAGCAGAGCTATCTTCTAGGCAGGGTTTTAAAAACTTCACATCTAGTTATTTCCTCAATTGATGAAAATGAGAAATGTTGCCAATATGTTTTTCTATGTCCTGGCGTTTGCTGCCTAAGGACCAGCTTCACTAACCCTAGAGATCCTCATTATCAGGATGCTGGCCATCCTGTAACAAACTGACCACAACAACTAAGAACGCATTGATGGTATTGGAATAGTTACGTCTGCATCAGCAGGAGAGACTATCCACGCTAAAGAAATTGCAGATCTTTGAGATATTCAAGGTATGATATGTGTTTGCATGGATAGAGGAACTACAGAAAGCAGGCAGAGGTAACAAAGGATGTCAGCCCATCAGTTTCAAGATCTCTCTGATCTTACATAAAAGCTCTTTCTCTTCCTCTAATCACATTTTGGGCATAACCTTAGCTTGCCTTCTTCTAGCATGCATCAGGCTAACTGTTGTGATGGACAGCTGCAAGGGGCATTAAAAGGGATCAGATAAGTGAGAAATGCATGCAGGTTAAATTAGTCAATTAGCAATTAGGCAACTGCTAATAAAAGCACATCATGGGAGTTAATGCAAAGGAAGAGTGAGGAGTGCAGACCCCTCTCCAGATGAGTGAACCTGTTATTGACTTCCACTCTTGTTGAATTTCCACTGCTAAATTTTTCCATCGTGTTTTCACATAAAATTGTGAATTTTGTACTTCCCACAGATATTCATACATCACTTTGATGCAGCGTTCCTTAGCATATATATTTTTGTATGCAGCTTCCCTAATCTATATGTCCCCACCATCATGCATGTTTTTTTCTAATGCACATTTTCCCTAATAATCCATCCGCCCACTTTTCACTGTGGAACCTGATAGTGATGTTTGTAAATGTGCAGGTGCTGGAGCACAAGGACAAGCTTGATTGCAGAATGTCCCCAAATCCTGTATCTGTCTCATGTATAAGAGATACATAAGAAATACATTCACACCAAAATATGAGAAAAATACAATCCAAACCAAACAATTTGCTCCCCTATCTCTAGCACCACCCTAACCCTATCAGGCAAAAGCATGAAAGAGAAAAAAAGACAACAAAAATGTTGCAGCACCGTAAAGACTAACGGCTATATTTTAACCTGGGCTTTCACAGACATGTCCACTTAATCATTTGACTGAGCATGGACATCTTTCTTAAAGAAGCACGAAAACCTTCCATCATGCGAACACCGAAGCACCCCAAGGAGCTCCTGGCCGAGGCTCACCTGATTCTTCACGTTGTCAATCTCCGCCTGCAGCCTCTGAATGGCACGGTTCAGTTCTGCAATCTCAGTCTTGGTGCTCCGTAGATCATCCCCATGCTTTCCAGCGGTGACTTGCAGGGCCTCATACTGGGGATACCACAACATACACAGAGAAAAGAGGTTGCTGAGGGCGCCTCTGGAATGGGCATGGCAGACGTTTCCACCATGCATTTACAGACAACACATCCTCCCATTCCCCCACCCTTGAGCCCTGTCTCTGGAAGCGGAGCAGTCCCGGGTCAAGGGCAGCATGTACTATTGGACTTCACCACTGCCAAAGGCGGCATTTCACTTTTAATACTGGCTGCCATGCATGCTTTATTTTTCACCATGGAATTGAATGGCAGCCAGTCTTGTTCTATGTTTCCTCATAAATGTCAGTGGAAGCCATTCTCTTCCATGTGGCGAGCAGGATTTGGAGTAGGAGCTAATCTTGACCCTTCTCACCGATGACCCCAGGATAAGGGGCAACTGGTTTTTCTTCTACCCCAAGCACGTTCTAGGACCATGGCCATTTTGTTTGATCCATGAGAGAAAGCACCCCCTTTCAGTACAGCCCCACCTCTGAACAGCCAGCCATGTGAGCCATCAAGGCATAAAGGGAGGTTGGGGAGATCCAATTTTTAAAATTTGATTAATGTATTTAAAAATATTTTTACTCTGTCTTTCTCCTTAAAAGGACCCAAAGTTTTTGATCTCATTCAGCCAGGAAGTCCACTTGGTGGCCTTGAACCAGTCTCTTTTCTTGCAAATCGGAGAAGTAGCGAAGTGTGAATGTCTCCTTTGGCTTGTGGAGACATTCAATTACAAGTAATTGTGTACTTATAAGATGGACTTATAAGTACACAATTCCGCTCTCTGGCTTCTGGCTGGTTCTTGGTGATTGGCCATATTCTGCTGTGCTTTTTAGAATAGTAGAGAGAAACTGTGTAGCCCATGGGCTGCCTGGGGTTTAGCACAGCCCCTGCTGTACCCTACACACCTGCATCCTTCCACAATCAACACTTTTTTCCAGCCCAAATGTGCCCCCCCCAAGAACTCTCCAAGGAGCACAACCCGTTGGGGGGGGAAGTCAGGTAAAATTTTTAACAAAAGGGGCATGACGCAACAATGGTTTGGGAATTGACCGATGGGGTGGATTTGGCACTCGGCACTTCATATTTGCTCATCCCTATGATTGTAGCTTGCAGAGCCTAAGAAAATAATTATAAGGAACAGTCCGTATTCAAGTCCGTAATTAGAACGTTAGGTTTCAGAAGGCAGCTGGTGGAGTTTGGGATTTCAATTCATATATTCAAGGCTCCACCATCTGATTTTATGGCTGGCTCCTTCATCTCTTCATGGCTGTTTTTGGCTCCCTGAAAACATTCTCCAAAAGGCTCCCTCATGATGCCCCGTTCCCACCAAAATGAATGTTTCCCCCAGGCACAGCATCGACCCACACTGTTCTCACCCTGGGACTGGAAGGAAGATTACACAGTAACATGTGGCTCTGGCGGTCTGCATGGGCTAGAAGTACAAGAGTGAAAAGTAGCGGGGCAGACAGACAGATGGGTATTCCCAGCCGGCGGTCTCTTAAGAGTCCATCTTTCCCAGCATTGCTCACCTTGCTTTGGTACCAGCTTTCTGCCTCAGCCCGGCTCTTATTGGCAATTTCTTCATACTGAGCTTTGACCTCAGCAATGATGCTGTCCAAGTCCAGGTTACGATTGTTGTCCATTTGAAGGACAACAGATGTATCGGAGATCTGTGTTTGCAGCTCACGCAATTCCTGGAAAATTAAACAGACAGGTACGTTGAGTATTCAGTATCCTTTAGGCCAAAGTAGGGATAATTACATGCCAATGTTAATCATCTACAGTGAGGACTGAGATAGATTTGGTTCCTGACGACAAGTTTGCCTGCCTAGTCAATTCAGTATCTAAGGGGGTGGGAGCAAAAAGGAGGACTCCAGCTGTACCCTCCTGTGTTTCCAGTTTCCTTGTTCTCCTACTTGTACAGATTTCCAAAGCCAAATTAATTCCATTTCGTTGGCAGACTCAGGAAGTATGAAACAGCTGTGCCCATACAACAAGCCTGTTAACCTTATTATATTTCCTACCTCTTCCTGTGTCCCACCACACACAAAGGAGGGTGAGGATAAATGTCCCATGGAAATCTTGTACTAGTTGCATTCAAGAACAAGTACCAGAAACTTTCTTTCTGTTCCTGAAGCGTGGCAAATCCTGAGCTCACCCTTCCTCAAGAAAATCTGTATTAAAATTGCATCCCTTGTAAACATCTCGATGACTCATTATCTAGTACACACACAAAAATCACCAGACCATCCCAAACAGATATGCTCAGAAAGGATTTAGGGTCTTGCTCATAACAAAAAGTGGAGTCAACCCCAGGACATTTTGGAGTGCCAAAGCTGAGCCTGACAAGCAGGCTAGAGGCAATGAGTCAAACAGATGTGGGCACAACAAACAGTAAGGTGTAAAGGTTCCCTTTGACATTTAGTCCAGTTGTGTCCGACTCTAGGGCGCAGTCCTCATCCCCGTCTCCAAGCCGTAGAGCCAGCATTTGTCTGTAGACAGTTTCCATGGTCGCGTGGCCAGTGCGACTTAGAGACACAGAATGCTGTTACCTTCCCACTGTGGTGGGTACCTATTTATCTACTTGCAGTTCTATATGCTTTCGAACTGCTAGGTTGGCAGGAGCTGGGACAAGCGATGGGAGCTCACTCCGTCACATGGATTCAATCTTACGACTGCTGGCCTTCTGACCTTGCGGCAACAGACACTGTATATCTGGAAGTGCCAGAAGCTTTTAGCACAGAGAATAAACAGTTATTTGCATTCAGTAGCTTTGCAGGCTTGAACTGTTATATAGGAACTGGATTTTCCTACAAAACACCTTTAGTCTATCTCTTTCCTATTTAAAACATAAACAAAATATTGTGGAACCTTAATTTTTAAAATGCAGTTTATTTTAATAACAGTTTTCATTGATTACATTCCACTTTTTCAGCCATAAGACTGTAATCCATGAAAGCTCACACTGTCTTAAAAGTACCATAAATCTATTTTTTGCTTCTGCTTACATAGGTTATCACAGCTGTCTTTCAAAACAAAACAAAAACAAAAAAACCCAGCTATTTAGTACTTTGATTTAGAATACAGTGGTGCTTACCACAAAATACTTTTAAAAAAATTAATCCTTCAAGATTATTTTTGTACAGGCCTCTGCAAATGATACATTGGTTTTTCCAACCAAAGACTTGAATTATGCATTGTCCTAATTTTTACCATGAATAGAGATCGAGACAGATTGGACAGATGTAACCAAACCTAAAAATGTCATTCTTCTGCTATATTAAGAATAAGTACAGTAATACTTCTGCTGAAAATGTCAGCAATTAATCTGATCTATCGACCATGGCACAGATGAGCTGTCGCATTCATCCCAAACCCAGAAATAATGCTTGCAATATTTTCTGTTGGAGAAAATAACTGCTCCTAAAGGCCTGTGCAAACTCAGCTGTTATTCTGAAGTGTCACCTGACAATGATTTGCTGCTCCCTCTCTTTCCCTGCCATGCAGGTAGAGCAGTGGTTCCCAAGCTTAGTTTCCCAGATATTCCTGGACTACAACTCCTAGAAATCCTGACCAGCACAGCTAGTGGTGAAAACTTCTGGAAGTTTTAGTTCAAGAATCTCTGGGGGCTCAAGGTCGGGAATCACTGAGGTACAGCAACATGGTCCTCACAGAAGCATCAGGTATAAAAGATCAACATGGCATTGCAGCCTGGAGATGACCCAGAATGACTTAGACTTGGGGGGTGGGGAATTAAACCAGAAGGGACCACTTGCAGTAGTTTTTTGGGTGTTTTTAAAGCCGGACAGAAGGCAACCACATTCCATTCAAATACTGTTGGAGTCTTCCACAACAATAACCAATTTTTTACTCAAAATCATATTTTTTTTGCAGTTAAGTTGGGTGTACTTGAAGGCTTCCAATGGAGAGCTAGAAACTGCCAAACTCACTGCTTTTTGCTCACTATATGCTAAAAAGATTAGAGAGTATGAAGATTTTTTTTTTTACTTACTGCTTCATGAAGTGATCTCAGGAAGTTTATCTCATCAGTCAGTCCATCTACTTTGGCCTCTAGCTCTACCTTATTCATGTAGGAAGCATCAACATCCTGGGGAAAGAAAAACAAAAAAAAACATAACCAGAGAATCAAGTGAGCCTTTGAAGGAATGAGGGACTAAGATGGAGAAGAGAAGGCTGCCACAATGTATAGCTGATGGAGGATCCCACCACTGAGTCCTCTGAGTTAACCACTTCCACAGTGAAAGTGACTGTATCTTCCTCCTAAACTGGCAGTGCCCTACAGGCAAATGGTCAAACCATGTAGCTCTATCCAAAACCACAAACCTGCACAAAAGGTAATGAACAGAGATGGGCATGAACCACCAGTTCAGAGGTATGTGCCAGTTCAGCCAACAGGTTGCACTGCAATTCAGTGTCCTGCCCCCCTCCAGCAGGCTCCCAGTCAGAGGCAGCACCCCAGCTTCCTGCCTCACTTCCTTTGGGCACTCTGAGTGGGCACCCATAGGGAGGGGAGGCCCGAAACCATAGAAAAGCTGCTAGCTCATCCACCAAACAGGCACAAACCACCAAACCAGCAGTGTTGTGCCCATCTCTAGTAATGAATCATGGGCAGAAGACATACAGTTGTTGCTGAGACTAGAGCAAGCAGGGAGGGATGGTTCTCTGCCAACCCATATGGTGGTAGCGGTGGGATCTCCTTGAGCTGCTACAAGGCTCAGGCAAAAACCAAACTCATAGGGTTTTCTCCCCCTCCAGACTTATGGGTGGAGAACACAATATGCCCTTTGGTGTCAAGGCCTGTAATGAACTAAAGGAAAAGCACTGAGGCAATTGCAAGGCAGCAGTGAGGAACATGTGGCCCTGATTTCCAGTTCTCACAAGCCCTTCTCAACCTGGCCAACTACAAAAAAAAATCAGAGGAATATTACCTGAGTCATGTCTGAAGGATATAACTCAGCTAATTCCCCCAACTCTGGTATAATGTGGGCTTTTACCCTTAGTTCATTCCCAGAATTGCCACTTGACCTATCTGACCTTAAATGTCACTTCTCCTTTCAGTGTGACTTCTGTCCTCCTTTTTGGTCCTGTCTGTTTGGTTTGTAAACAAGAGAAGAGAAAGCTCAGATCTGCACCATGGAAACCTTGTTTTCGGTGCCCAACCCAAATAATAAGAAATTAAGTGCTGTGTTCAGCCAGATTATTCGCATTAGAATTGCCCAACTGCTGTTTTAAATTATGTCTCTTTTTAATAAAAGTCACCCTGGCATAGCATTAAGCATCCTTCTTTCAGTGAAATGGAAGAGGAGCTCAGGAACTGTGATCATCCTCTTCTGGTCTCCCTACCTCCCCATCTCTACCACTACCTTTAAATTGGAGACTTAGTCTTTCTGAGCTTTCTGAGGTCTAGTCTGCACCAACAGCCAGTGGGGTGCAAGAACAATTCTTACTTAGGCGGTGGTGAAGGTTGCATGAATAAGTACTTGCAAACAGAAAATTAGCTTATCAGGCAAAAAGCAACATTAGAATTCTTTCCTCAAACGTTTAATGACCGATGAGCAAGGACTTTTGCTTAATGGAGACAATTCAGTAATATCTGCCAAACAGTATGATTTTTTAAAAAATTACTGTTGTATGTCGTTTATGTGAACAGCATACATGCATAAAGACAATTTTCTCAAATTTTGCGAATCAGTGTGGAGGCAAGTTACAGAATGAAACTTCATAGCAGAT